TTCACAAATAGCATCAACAACACAATTTTTCAGGGACAAAATTGTGATCCCTGAAAATCGTTCTCGCAAGAATAACACAATAAACGCCCAGTTTTTAAAGGATGTGGACATTTATATTCTATTTTTAAATTCTATTTCCCAATTAATATCATTTTGTTTAAAATGCGTTGTGTAGCCCAATAGGGCACATTCCAGGCAGTAATATCCCTTTAAACATCCCCATTTATAATGCACGTACCGGTATATATCCCTAATGTATGCGACCTTCTGTTTAAAATAACTTATTTTTCCCAGACAAAAAAAAAACATGTTGTAAACAAGCCCCTATATACCGCCTGGATGGCAGAAATAACCAGGCATTCCCCCACATGTAAATCGACTTGCTTGAATAATGAGAATACAGTGTACAGAGTTGTGTGTGCTGTGCATTGGCAGGCCCGTGCCTAGCCTCAGCGCACTGAAGGGCCTTACATGTGTTAATAATAGCAGCCGATTCCTGGAAACCAGCACACAAGGGGCAGCTTTCAATATTGACCCAGGCATGTCTATTGAGACTACACCTGTAGGCATGGCGCTGTCATTATATTATGTGGCCTGTGTGTACATGTACATGTAGAAGTGCGCGGTAGACAAGTAGGCTGTATTCTGGTGATGTGCTCTATTTGGTCGTATGTTGGGGGTTGCAGTTTTTTTTATGGTGGTCCCTGTGCACAGGTCTATTTCTGGGGCCTTATCAATTCTCCTGTTGGAAGCTAGTCGGAAAAAAATAACTATATTTAATGCGTCTAGAACTATAGATCAGTCTGTTGAAATGAAGGTGATTGTGTGACTGCATGTACTGCACATGTACATGTACATTTACATGGACGTGTATGTTATTCTTTATCATTAAAACTGACAAGTTGTGAAAAGTAATTTATAAATTTTACTTCATCTATTTAATATATAAAAAATGTATCAATAGGGCCCAAGTAATTTTGTACACAATGATTGTTTTGCTTCATAAACATAAACATTTTTTTTCATAAGTAATTTGGTGTTATACGCACTGAGTGGTGATACCAAAATGTTGCATTCAAAATGGTACTGTAGTGTAATGTACATACACTCATGGGTATGTTTTTGTTGACATGTTACACCTGTGAACACATTCATGTACATTATTATTATTATTGGTTTATTAAAACTCCTGTGTCGTGGCCCGAAGGCCAAATTGTACATGATTTACAGATAATAAAAATAATTAACAATTTACATTAAGTACAGGATTTAAAATACAAAAAAGTTACATTATTAAGAAGTTTAATATACACAATGTACTCGCAAAAAAACCCGTAAAAATTGCATTAAAAGGAAAATTATTACAATAAAGCCACTGGTCAGGGATTCAGGAGGAGAAAATGTATAAAAACGCATCTATAGAACAAGCCAACAAGGGATAACACATTTTGAAACCAAAAGATGAACAAATATTATGAACCACGCACTATGTTCATGACTTGTTAAGAGATAGCAGTTTACAATTTTAGGAAGTGTGAAGTACATTTAATACACATTTGAAGTAGACTTTCGTAACATGCAGATCCATTGAAAGTGAAATTCCTCCCAAACAGGAACTTACGTCTATTATGCAATTGACAAAAAAAAACATTCAACTGCTATTAATTAAAGGGAATGTACAACATTTGCTTTTGCTGCAATTTTCAGAAATAAATGGATTTGGAGGATTAGTATGTTATAGCAAATATTGTTAAACTGACTTGTTTCACATTTTAGGCTTGTCGATGCTGGAAAACCAAGAAAACCTATCATGTTCTTGTAGTCTGGTTCCCTGACCCCACTTAAAATGAAACGGAGCAATTTATGGACTTTTGGGAATTGTAAGGTCAGAGAATCAGTCTAGCAGGCTTGTACCCCTTCACAGGTGTGTAATCAATTGCAAAAAAAACGTGGAATAACTAATTATGAAAAAGTGGGAGCAGTTTTTGAAAAGAACCCAGTTTTCTCCAACGCTGGTCGGCCGACCAGCGTTGGAAAAAAATACCAGAGGTCAGAGAATCAGTCTAGCAGGCTTGTACCCCTTCACAGGTGTGTAATCAATTGCAAAAAAAACGTGGAATAACTAATTATGAAAAAGTGGGAGCAGTTTTTGAAAAAAAGCCATTTTTCTCCAACGCTGGTCGGCCGACCAGCGTTGGAAAAATACCATTTTTCTTGAAAATGACAGCACACCAGGAGCCACGATTTTACAGGACGCTTGAGACTGTCATTCCCTAACAATCCAGTAAGGTATTTCGTGATAATTTGATCATTTCATTTTATGATGTTTGCAAATGTTGTATCTTCCCTTTAAGATTTTGTTAGAAACTTTTATCTATTAAAAACGTATTGTCACTTTGTCTAAAAAAAACCCCAAATACTACCCCCAATTTACCATATTTAGTTAGTCCGCATTTTGTTTGCAATTTACACACCTACGTTGTATGAACTGGCACAAGCCAGCTAGACTGGTTCCCTGACCTTACAATTCCCCGACGTCTAGAAATTGCTCTGTTTCATTTTAAGTGGGGTCAGGGAACCAGACCACAGGAACCTGATTCTTTTGTTTTTCCAGCATCCACGAACAAAACAGTTCAAACAAGTCGGTGGAACAATGTTTGCTATAAAATGCTTACCTCCCAAATCCATCCATTTTTGAAAATTACAGCAAAAGCAAATGTTGTAACGCTCATGTACATTGTACATTATTGTGACTGCACAATGTACAATGTACGTGTACATGTACATGTACATGTATGTACAGGCTTCATGAATGTCAAAAGGGCAATTTTACTGTGGTGGGAATAGCTTTCAGTTGCTACATTTGTTATTAATACGAGTGTCATAATTCAAGTTAACGTGTGAAAAATCTTCTTTGTGCGAAAGGGCTTCGTTGTACAATGTACTTGTACGACATTGTAGGCCTACCATACGTGTACGTATAACACCCTTGAGAATAGCGGTTGACCTTCCCAACCGAGAAAGTTCATTTCCTGCACGATTCCAAGCATTTTGTCGCGCTTGAATAAATCGCACTTTCCCCGTGCTTTTATTGATGACAAGTGACATGTTGATTTTGGAAGCCTTTGGGAACCGATGTAAGGCTCAAAAATGTTAATTTGATATTGGACTATTGTACATTTATGTGCGTTACTTTGGTCCATTGGTTATGGTGTGCAAATAACGTGCGATGGTACGTGGAATCGAAGTGTAACAGGGAGCATGGTGCTTACAAATTTCTTGGGCTTCTTCTTCTCGGGTCATCACACCACTCCCGCCCAGTGTTGAGCACAGGATCTCGCTCGGGGGTTGAACTTCTCTAGGTCCTCGTGGGTGCAGGGTTCTGGCAGGTGGGGGCAGACCAGCAGGTGGTCCATGGACTGTTCAGCCCCACAGTCACATGCGGTTTCACCATCCTCATTATATCCCCATTTCTGCATCAGGGCTTTGCAGCGTCCGGTCAAGGGCCGGTCCGGCCCATTTCTTGGGCTAAAACTTTATATAACAGTACCTCTCTCCACCCAGTATAACCAGGTACCTGTGAGGGTATCTGTAGACAAATCTGGGCACGTAAATCACTGTATAACTCGCGAGGCCCCCTTCAATGGCGAAAGCATTGTGCAAGCTACCGTGCAGAGCTACTGCCCCATGGCGGATTATCTGAACAATAGCTAGCACAATGCTTTCGCCATTGAAGGGGGCTATTGTGATAGCATTGATAAGGATAGCATGCCCAGATTTGTTTTATAGACCAGATATCGCTGATCTTCGGCTGCACAGAAAACTGGTCTCTTGGCCGGATGAACAGGGGTAATACCTGTGAAGCGCTTTGAGAATTTGGCATAGTATAACTTTGCACCACTTTGTCCGAAACGGGCTTCCAGAGCTACGGCTACGTCTATTGTCAGCGCGTCCCCGCGTATTTTCAATGGGCGCAGACCTAGACCTAGCTCTAGACAACTGATTCGGATGCAGCCTTACACTCAGTATACACTCAACCAAAAAAGAAAGTCCCCCCCCCCCCTTCCAATACTTTTTTGTGTAACTCAAAAACTACTGGGCACCTCTCACTCAAATAACGACTAATCAGTACAGAAATTCCTTAGCAATCCAGCCGTACTCTTTATTATGATAATGTGTATGAATTTATGCAATTTAAGACAAATGATACCGAAAACAGTTGCACTTTTATACACGTGCAAGTTGTGGTTCACAATACAAAAGTGCAATTTTTGGTTTGGTACCATTTGTCATCAATTGCATAATTGTGTACACATCATCACTGTTTTGGGCCAAACAAAGAGTATGGCTGGATTGCTAAGGAATTTCTGTACTGATCAGTTGTAATTTGAGCAAGATGTGCCCAGTACCTTTTGAGTTTAGACAAAAAAGTATTAAGGGGGGACTTTCTTTTTTTTAGTTGAGTGTATCTGACAGTGACAGGGATGTAATTCTCCTGACATTGATTTTCAGGGTTTTTCCCTCAAATTATAAATAAAGTATTGGCAGCATACCGGTACATTTGTGTGTACTTTTCCTTAGTACCAAACATTTCTAACAAATTTGTCAGATTCCACACTTACATCACTGATCTGAGGGAAATGTGTATGAAATTTCCCCCACTGGTATTGTTTCTAAAAGGAGTAAGTCAGTTTTATAAACCCTCACAAAGTCAAATCTACCAAAAGTAAGTTTGGTTATGCGATAGTCGATGATATGTACAGCATAGTAGAGCCTCATAAATATGAATTACATACATGTACGTGTACATGTATACATTTCCATCAAGTTTTGTTGCTTTACAAATAAAGTTCCATTGTGGTGGATGTGAGAAGCGTTCTACTTAAATGGCCTGTCGGTGAAGGAGTTGTGGTTTCAATGTTTGACAAGTCTGCAACATGTTTGCTTAGTATTTCATTGCTTCATTTATTTGATTGATTATTTTGTTAATTTGTCCACAGAAAATCAACATTGCAAGTCACCAGTACGATTACAGTACCACAGAGGCCAAGAAAGAAGTGAACAAACCATACAACAGATATAGAGACGTCAGCCCATGTAAGTCACAGTGCAACTAATACTAGGCTTGAATCATCAGTGGATACACACTTCCATGTACATCCATGCAATTCAATCTGTTGCACCACTGGAACTTGTACAATCATCTGAATTATGATCCTGCATTCTGAGAAAGTATTGAGCTGTTGTAAGATGAGCGCTCACAATGCGTGTACCTGTGTAACCCCCACTGGGCAGCACAACAGTAAGAAGAACGTGACTTGACCGAATTGTCGCTGTTCTCAGAAATTCGAACAGTTCTAAACTTGTTGCAGCCATATACAGTATCAACACTTCCGCTGTATTCTGAAAAGAGACTCGAGAACTCTAGAACAAATAAACGCAATTCGAATGGAGTTTGGAAACCTCTTTCTGATGTTTCCTGGAATGATACCTAAGTATAGGCTAGTTTCTGTTCTAGAAAATATATATTTTAAAAGTAGGGTAGATTTTTTTTCCTCTTCGTTTGAAGCACCAAAAGTGCTCAATCTAAGGACCGGTGCTTAACAACTAACCGGATGAAGTTTGAGCTTTGTCAGTGCCATATATTCCCAGAAAACAATATTCTAGGATCTCGATTTCAAGTGAAACATTGCTGAGTCATGCTGTGAATTGTGCTCGAAGTCAGCATCCGGGACACATTCGCATTCAGCTGCTCTACGCTTTGTCGCGCACTGAACCGGCGAAAAATAACGCTTGTGCGCATCCATTCACGGATTTGCCGAATAACAAACCAACTCTTATTGATATTTCCAAAAATGTGTCACTTGACGCATCTTTGGAAATGACCTTCTTTTATTGTTTTCTTCAAAATGACAGCGTGCTAGAAAGAACAATTTCACAGCCCCCATTTCTATCTTTAAACCAAGTAAGCTTTTCAACAATAATTTCTAATAAGATACGTTTTTGATGGTTGCAAATGATCTACTCTACCTTTAACCCTAACCCACCTCACTCTTCCAAAATCCTCCTGGCGGTTTTGGAGGATTCTAGAGGATTGAGGATGAATGGCGATTGAATCAAATGAGGATTCTGGAGGATTGAGGATGAATGGTGATTGAAGCACATGAGGATTTTGGAGGATTGAGGATGAATGGTGAATGAAGCACAAGAGGATTTTGGAGGATTGAGGATGAATGCATTTTGAGGCAGGACTGTCTGATGATTTTGAAGGATTTGGCGTTGGTTATCCTTCATTTAAACACGAGTGCAAAGTTTTGGGATGAGGAGGATTTTGGAGGATTGAGGATGAATGCATTTTGAGGCAGGACTGTCTGACAATTTTGAAAAATTTAGGCCGAGTTGAAAAATTTTGGAGGATTTTGGAGGATTGAGGATGGTTGTAAGCAACAAGGGCCTAGGGGGTTAGGGTTAAAGCTATAGTCCATCATTTGTAATTAGTGCATTTTGTTCGTTTGAAGCAACAAAAGTGTTCAAAATCTAATGAAGGATACTGAGCAACTAACCTGATGAAGTTTCAGCTAAGCTTCAGCTGTACATTCCGAGAAAAGCAGCATTCTAAGATCTCAATTTCAAATCAAAAGTTACTGAATCATGTTTTGAATTGTTTTGAATTGCAGCTATACGCGGCGTCGCGCACCGATCCGACGAATTATAACAACCGCGCGCGCGTGTGCGTCGTTCCAATACTTGTGCGCGCTGCGCTGAATAACAAAACGAACTACTAATTTAAATGTTCCTACGGTGCTTCTTAAGAATCACCGTTGGAAATGCCTTCTTTCGTTGATTACTTCAAAATGACAGCTTCCCAGAAAGAATAATTTCACAGGGAGTTTAGTTCCTTTACTATCTTTCAACCAAGTTTGTTTTTCAACAGTAATTACGCCAGTTACTTTTCGGATGGCTGCAAATGATGGACTATAGCTTTAACATATATTTTGACCAACAATGGCCAAAATGTTGACCAGTAATTGCTCAATTTGTTTTGTATCTGTTCATAATTCTCCATATTGCTTCATTTAAAAACTTGTGGTTTTTGTTTTTTTCCATGACTCAGACAACCACACACGCATAGTACTCGGTAATGGGACCTCTGATTACATCAACGCCAGCTTGGTAACGGAGACACGAGCCAACCGTAGATACATCCTCGCTCAGGTACAGTTTCCACGTCATCGATTATTCTCGGAATCGGCCTTCAAATTTGCGGCCTTCCCTTTCAATCTATATGTAACGTGGTTCGGGAAAAACCAGTGGGATGCAATTTAAACACTGACAAACAAAACCAAAAGTAACACATACAAATGAACTAATGAACAAAAAAGGCGTTTACAGTTGGATCGTGTATTTTCAACGACGACACTTTCCTGGATTTCAACAACTTCATTTAGAAAAGGTTTTGCTGAGCGATTTATGTTGTGTGTTTGACATTTCATAAGTGCACTGCTACCGATGCATATGCCAAAAGTTTCTTATTTCAAAGTTATTTAAAAAAAAAAAAAACCAGCTCTGTCAATTTTTATATTTTTTTTTCATAGAAATTCCTTAGAAATAATGCACCCCCCCTCCCCCCCCCCCCGATCTGACACCCCAAAAAATGAAACTGGTAATACGTGTTATGTCTGCCTGTGCCCAAAATACGGACCGAGTCAGCTTGGTTAGGGGGTATTTGCACACTATTTTGTGATATAGTGTTAATAATCATCGGATTTGAACAGCGCCCCCATTGAAATTATGGTACGAGCCCGAGCCCCCCACCCCACCCCACCTATTGAATTTCAGAGGCCAAGTGTCTGGAGAAAAAAAACTCTGTCTACATTTCAATTTTGTTTTGCTGATGAGAACCCCCTCCCCCCTGCAAAAATTCCTGGATCCGCCCCTGGAAATTGATGGTTCTTTCTGAGGAAGTGCTCTTTATATGAAGAGGATTTCCTTGTAATGTTATATGAGTCCTGCATGTTCACCTAGAATCGTTTAATTCATTGAAGGGGAACTTTTTCATGGATATGAGTACGAGTGATTTGTCAAAAGTACTAGTAAGTAAGATTTGAGGCTTTGCATGGTGGAGATACTAAATAATGAAAGGTTTGTGGAAACACCATGTGCGAATAATTTCTCAACTAAGAGAATGGTTCTGAAAAGAACCAGTGGTATAAACTCGACGTTCCGGTCAGTTTGCTCCGACCGTCTTCAGGAGAATGCAGTACTAGTAGGAGTATGAGTACAGGTGAACATTTTTTCCTTGCTAGTACATGTACGTGTGCAATTACATTGTACACATACAAGTACATTCTTTAAGTATGAGTACGATAACATTAACAAGATTACGAGTATAAGTACACAACAACGCTAATGAATTCCACCGTGCATACTCAAGCGTTCAGTTCCGTGTTGTAATCCAGTAGGCTTGGTTGTTAGAATTGTCTATATAAGCAATAAACACAAGTCCCGAAGTGTAAACGAAACAATTTATTTGTGTACCATAATTTTAAATGGTTCCCAGTTAATCCTTGTATGGATGTTCTCGTGTTCTTGTCTGTGAGTTTCTGTTTCATTTGGATTGGAAAAACCTGTCTGTAAAGGTAAGATACAAATTTGCTTTTCAGAAATGGATGGATGTGGGGGTTAGTATTTTATAGCAAATATTGTTACACTGACCTGTTTAAAGTTGTGCGCTCATAGATGCCAGAAAAGCCAAGAAAAAAAAAGTGCTGTTCTTGTAGTCTGGCTCCCTGACCTTACTTCAGGCAAAACGGAGCACTTTATAGACGTCAGGGAATTGTCAGGTCAGGGAACCAGTTTGCAACTGTTCATGGGTGTGTAACCAATTGCAAACAAAATGTGGACTTACTAAATTTGGTAAATTAAGGGCAGGGTTTGAAAATAGTCATTTTTTTTTCAACGATGATCGGCCGACCATCATTGGAAATGGGTACAAAAATTCTACTTTTCTTAAAAATGCCCGCCCATGAGGTGCCATGATTTCACAGGATGCTTGAGACTATTATTCACTTACAGTCAAGTAACGTATTTCATAATAACTTGGTACTAGTGTTTTTTTATGTTTGCAAATGTTGCATATTACATGTACCTTTAAGCAAGTTGTCATTTCTCAGTCCCTAGAGGTGGCTCATAGCTCCAAGACAAATGGGAAAGCCATTTGGAAATAGACATTCCAATTAAGTATTCCTTGGGGACATGCATGTATTTCACAGACGGAGTTGGCTCTTAAATATAAATACACAGTATAAATGACAAGTCAAGAGAAAATACATTCAAATTAAATTAACATCTGCAAACAATGTTGAAATAGCAAGTCAACAAACAAAACTGCAATACAAAAACCTCAGCTTGTACCGGTAAATGTCTTTTCCATACTTGTGTTTCTCTGTGAAACTAATTTGAGATTTTATTTGCATTTGAATTAATACATGTGCATGTCTGAAGTCACAAACTTGTTTTTCACCGGTACATACTGGCCCAAATTATTGCAGATCAGTTTGGTAACAGTACATTGTATGCATACTACATACAGGGATGTAAAAAGGTGTGTACATACATGTACATGTACAAAGCATACATAGTATGTTGTTATCTTCTTGCGCAATCCTTGCATGTATGCATACAGCCTCAGGTACAAATGATCAATGAGAAAAATGTGTTACAGTACACTGTATGTATAATTTTAAAATGTGTTAATGGTTTCTCCCATAAAGAACTTTAGACTACTGCCATATGGTATATCGCCATGTCCTGATCTTTCTTTGTAAAAAGCGTTTACTTCTGGAGTTGGTTTGGTTTGAAAGTCGCAATATAGTGGGTGATGTGAGTTGGAAAGAACTGTTTTAATTTTATTGCACACAAGAGATCTGTATAATGCCTCTGGAGACTCTTGTTGTAAAACCAATAGCTTTACTGGCTTGCTTAACTATTCTGTCTTACTTAATCTGATCCTGGCACCTCATATTTCTATAAAAACAAACAAGACAATATGTGAGAATACTCTGTACAATAGACTGGTAAAACGTTTGTTTTATCGATGTGAACATATTTTGAGTTTGCGTAGAAAAAACAAACGTTGTTGTAGCTTGTTGTATTTTGACTGACTTGGCACATGCATCAAATTTCAATTGGTCATCAATTTCAGTTCCCAAGTGTTTGCATACAGACACTGCTTCCAATTCGCCTTTAATGATAGCTGACTCTCCATGCCACTCAACAGCTGCTATGTGCAACTAGAGTTGAACTTGAATGAATGAATGAATGTAATTTTGAATGGAAGATTTCTTTTTCTCAAATCAATCATCATCTATTGCATATGGATGCAATTCTCAAAAATCTATCAGTGTGGATTGTAAAAAAGGAACATGAAGTTGATGAACATGTATGTCTTCTGAAAATGCCGATTAGTGATCAGTACGTTTTGTGTTTTTTGGGTTTAATTTTCCACGTACATGTTAAAGGGAATGTACATCATTGGCTTTTGCTGTAATTTTCAGAAATGAACTATTTGAGGGGATAGGCCTAGATCATATATTGTTTAACTGACATGTTTTGAAGTGTTGTGTTTCGAAAATGCTTGAAAAACCAAGAAAAACAAAAAGTGTCTAAGTAGTCTGGTTCCCTGACTCCACTAAAGATAAAATGGATCAATTTATAGTTGTCGGAAAATTGTATTAAAGGTAAGGGAACCAGTCTAGCTTGCCTGCACCTGTTCATGAACATGTAACCAATAGCAAACAAAATTTGGACTGAAAATTGTAAATTTGGAGCAGTAGTTGAAAAATAGTTAGGTTTTTCCAACGGTGGTCGGCTGACCACCGTTGGAAATGTATACAACAATACAAGTTTCTTGGAAATGACTTGACACCAGGTGCCATAATTTTACAGGATGCCTTAGACTGTCATTTACCAACATCCTAGTAAGGTATTTCGTAAAAACTTGGTAGTTTTATTTTTCGATGTTTGCAAATGTTATAAATTCCCTTTATTGTACCGGTATGAACCTCATCATAGACAGTATCATTTTTTCATGATTTCTCTTTCCCACCGCACCGGTACCTATGCCATAGATGGTCTTATGCGCTGTGTCTGTGCATAATCCATCCAGCCCTTGGCAATGTCCACCTGTCTCCCTAGGGATCCTTTCTTCCTGGGATGCACCTTTACTTCTGACAGCGTGTTTCGTCTGTTTGTCTGACTGGAACGAGAGGTTTTCCTGGAAATCCCAGTGCCGTGATCCACTAATGTGATTGTGCTGGGCAGAGTCTTAGTGAGGCAGAGCCTTTCATCTGACTTATTGAAGGCCGGCCATAAGAGGCAGCAGTTTCCACTAATCATGCATATCTTTAATTTGCCTGCGGCGCAAATTTGTTTATCCGAGATACAATTCCGGGAAATCACTTGTGGGGTAAAAAGGACATGCGTAGAAAAGCTGTACGTGCACGTACAGTATGTACGTGTACTCTGTACCGTACGTGCAATAAAAATAATCTTAAGTGGAATCTTTTTAAGCTTTTTAAAGGGAATACAACATTTGCTTTTGCTGTAATTCTCCGAAATGGATGGATTTGGGGGTTAGTATTTTATAGCAACTTTTGTTACACTGACTTATCTTTGAATGTTTGAGTTCGTAGATATTAGAAAAACCAAGAAAAACAATCCTGTTCCTGTGGTCTGGTTCCCTGACCCCACTTAAGATGAAACGGAGCAATTTATGGACGTCTGGGAATTGTAAGGTCAGGGAACCAGTCTAGCTGGCTTGTACCCGTTCATTGGTGTGTAATCGATTGCAAACAAAATGCGGACCAACTAAATATGGTAATTGGTCCATACATTACTGATACTGATTGTGGGGTGGGAACCAGCCTACCCCATGAGAACGGGAATTATTGTCTGGCAGCCAATAATTCGAAATTGTTAAGTAATAATTCAATAACTAAATATTGACGGATTTTTTAACTGTCAGTGTCTCATTCAAAAGTGAATAACTTTTGTATAGCTAGAAAAATAGCAACTTAGAAAAGAAATTTATTTTTCCGGATGAAACTTGAAAAATAGCACGGGAATACCGGTACATCTTTAGTAGGATTTCCAATTTCTTTCGTCCTTTCATTCCCTATTTAATATTTTCTCCTTTTCAGCATTCTGTACTGTAGACAAATCACTTTTTGAGGGTCTGCAGTGACACTTTTTCCGATTGTTTTCCCGATATCATGCCTGAAATATGCATAGATTTCATTACAAGTTTGCAAAATTGACACATTTGGAATTTATTATTCTGATTGGTTATTCTACATGTACATGTAGCATGTAATTTCTTTTGTAAATCAATATAATTTGACAAAAGAAACCAACGAAACGGAAAGTACATGTGTGTGTTTAACTTTTTATGTTTTGTTTTACTGTAATAGCACAAGTGTACAATACTTATTTTTATTTCAGGGGGTTCTTCGAAAATGTGATAAACAAGATTATAGTTTCGTTTCTGTTTGCGTAACACCGTGTGGTGATAACTACTGTCGCTCAGTAGATATTTAGTTCTGATAAGAACTTGTCCTGCTTATTATCACCTTTCGCTGAGTAGTTTTAGTTCTGATAAGAACAGTCCTGCTTTAAGTTCTAAAAGAACTTGCCTTTGGTCTCAATGTTTCGACTAGCCTGCTCTAGTCATCAGTAGTTACCGGTATTACCACATGTTGTTACGGCGAACCAAAACGATACTGATACTCCACCTTGCCAAGCCTAGAATCTTATATGAGTATACGGTAGTTATACCTTCTTAACTTGACCAGTAATCAATTCAATTCAATTTATTCATTCATCATGCCAGCGCATGAAGTTCTACTTCATATCCTATTACATATTCATTTTGGTTTCAGAGGATATTTGCAAAATAGCAATGGCAAATGCTATATAACTCTGCACACAGGAACTCCATGACCTGATTAGGAGGTCGTGCAGAGGTTAACAACAGTATTGGTTACTTCCTGGTTGAATGACCTCTAATCTTCATGAGTAGTGCTATAGACAAGGACATGCACTACGTGTAATGTGTGGGTTCCACTGGCCTTGCTGCTAGGTGTAGTGAAAGTAAAAGTCAAAGAAAAACTCCATGGTTTTGCGGTTTTGCGGAGGTGGGTGGGAGTCTTGTGGGATTTCCACTGCCCCAGATCTTCAGAAATCCACCACCTGGTCTTGAAATTTGTTGGTTGGACTCAAGATACACTGTAGTTCATCCCAAGTACTTTTATTTGGGAGATACAGCATTTACATGGAAAGTGCTGTACAAGGAAAATATATTCATATACATGTCACGTGCTGCTAATTTTCTGCAGTGTCAATCAGTTTCATTTCTCTATTCGATTAATCAAGAACCATTTTGTGAAAATACATGTAAAGTACTTGTACATGTGAACATATGTTCCTTTCAGAAGGCGTAAGAGTACAGCCAAAAATGTCTTAAACCAAAAATCTTTAAACATTCCGTAAAAAAAAAATGAGATATAGGTGATATAGTTTTTAAACCGTCACTTTTTTCTAAACCTGCATTTTCTGAAAAAAAATTGGCCGTTCGATAATTCGAAACCCTAATCGAAAAGGGAACAATTAATCGATCAAAAAAATATTTTGAAATCTTGTGGCCCTACATGTAGCCAAAAAATTAGCATGGGTAAGGAGTAAGGGTTGCTCTGTCTTCATGTTGATGACAACAATGTACTCAAAGTGCTAAGTCTGGATAAATCCTTGTAATGTGATTCCTTTACAAGTGTTTTTCCATTTTCTGTCTCCTTGTCTTTTGGTTTGATAACAGGGTCCCCTTCCCACGACAATTGGACATTTCTGGCAGATGATATGGGAACAGAAAAGCAAGGCAGTCATTATGCTCAATAACATCATTGAAAAGGGAACGGTGAGTCAACAACTTCTGTTGCTGGTTATCATAGTTTTAACTTAAGTCTGAATAATGTCTATACTGGTACTTTTGGTAAATAACTTGCATCTGGTGATTATATCATTTTAACAGTCACAAGTTACCAGAATTTTGGATATTTTGCTGTTATTCAGAACATGGCAGTACGCCAATGAGCAAACTTTTCTCACAGATGTTTTCAACGAGCAAACTTTTGGGTTCACAATTTGAACAGAAAACCCCTAAATTGAACAATGTCTTCCGGAAATGACATCACAGGAACAGCGCCCTCAGTTGTCCGGAAATTAAAGAAGTGCATTTTCAATCACATTAACCTAAAAAAGGGATGCCAAATAATGTTCATACATTTAAGACGAGTAGAAAGTTGCACAAAATATTTTCCCAAGAAAAATTCATTGCACGGACCTTTTGAGTCTACAGCTCCACTTTATATGCACAATATTGGTTTTTTATTGGAAATTGTTTTTGTGATGAATAGTGGCAGGGTCGCTATACTGCAATCAAGTCGGCCATCTCCCATGCTTTGTCACTGCCCAGCCATCATTCATCTTAATTTTGTCCCAATATTTTTTTTTGTATTTTGCAGAGGAAATGTGCGCAGTATTACCCCGTCAATCACAGCAACTTACAGACGATACAGTGCGAGCAAACAGACCTGCAAGTCAGCATCTTGAGGGAAGACGAACATTCCTTTTACACCGTCCGAACCTTGGAACTCAAAAACAGAAAAGTATGAAAACATTTTAGATATCATGTTTTGTTATTTGTTATTGTAACTGAGTTTTTTTCCACATGGCATTTATCCAACTCTTAATGTGATATGCACATGAAAATGTTTGATTTTTTTAATGCATTACTGCAAAATACGACTTTCATTTCATGAGAAAACACCCCAGAAAGCAATTTGTTCACATAACGTCATCATCAGCCTTTTTATTATGCTGCCAAACTTAGAAAATGTCATTGAGAAAAAAAAAACACTCCAAGAACATTTGTGATGCGATCAAGCTAAATGAGTCGTTTGTCGACCCTGGTCAAAAAAATTGTTTATTACAGATTTGAAAAGAGCACAATCTCAGCATTACTGCTGTGAAAACCGCATGCTGATACCATCTTTAGTTCAAACATTATGGAAGTGGGAACACCAAGAGATGTGATGAAGTGATGTGATGAAGTGGCCTATTTTGGCCTGTATCTGCAATGAAAATTCCCGACAAACGACTCATGTAGCTTGATGGCATCACATTTGGTAACCTACCACAACCTAATGTGATTTAGGAAGACCTACATGTAGATGAATTGGGAGACCATCAGAAAGGGGCTATGACAGCTTAGTCAGTAGAGGTCTTGAACTTTGTTCAACAGGTCACTAGTTCAAATTCAATTCTAGTCCATTCCTTGTTCAACCTTAGATTGATACACAAGGCTTTGCCTCTTTGCCACCTTCGTTGGCGAGTCGTCCACTTCGCAGGCTATTCACCCACTGTGCAGACGGGTCACCGTGTTCTGTAGGCAAGTCGCTGCACGGGCGATAACCTGCTTTGCGAGTGATCAACTTGCGAACAGTCAACTAGCGAACACACACGCACATACACCTTTTACACTTGATAGTATAGCAGTGATGTAACTTGTAACTGGTCTTTTCAGGGGAAGGGGAGGGGGTGGGGTACCATGGAAATATTTGCTTAGCGTCCTATTCTGGCTTAGCAGCCTCGTAAATTTGGGCTCTGTTCATCTCATTGGAAAGTGAAACCAACTGAGCAAGTATTGATTTTTCTTCTCCTAGACAAACGAGTCCACAGAGGTCCTTCATCTTCACTACACCCGATGGCCAGATTTCGGCGTCCCCAAATCCCCCGAGGCATTCCTGAAGTTTCTCCACCACGTACGGCAGACAGGGTCCTTGTCTGAAGACGTGGGGCCTCCCGTCATTCATTGCAGTGCCGGGATTGGACGGTCTGGTACATTCTGCTTGGTAGACACGTGTTTAGTACTGGTGAGTTAGTGGTCCAGTTAGTGATCAGTTATTAACTTAAGTGTTCCCTGTTGTACATTGCATGAGGGCTGTTGTTGATAATCAGCGATACAACCAAACCCAGTAGGATGCATACCTGCCAACTGTTCCGATTTAGGCGGAACTGTTCCGATTTCGGAGATAAAAAGTGCCCGAAAATCGGAACGTCCCGATTTTCCGAGTTGCGAGAGAAGAAATAATACAAAAAATATAAAAAAAATTGAAAAATGCCCCGGCCCCATCGCGCACTTGTCCGAGAAAAATGTTTTAAGGGATTGAGGGGGCTATTGCCGCTACCATAAACATAAAATCCGCCTCGCTCTTATGTACGACGAAAGGGACGTAAACCAGACTCAAACGTCATCGAACAGGCCATGTCCGAATAGGCTGAGGCTGCAGCCGTACGTGTGCACAGGCTTGTGCGATCAGCTACAACCTAGCCGCATCCAATACTGAGACCCGCTACGTCATCCGTCTGGTGTACTGCCTCTCTTGCGTGCTTACTGAATTAAGCGCAGGCCAGGCACGTCGTGGTTGACGTATTGATGCCATGTTTGTTTTCCACACACGTTGTTTCTTCATAGTCTTCGGTGGTTTTTCGTTGATATTTTGAACGTGCTGAGTCGCACTTTTTTTGTCAACGTTTTTGTATGAGCATCTCAACTGCAACGTGGACCAGGAGGATGGAGAAAAAGCAGCGATGGAGTCAAAAATTTCGAGAGGAATATCGTGAAAAATTTAGAAATGGCAAATGTGTATTGTAACAGGCCTATGTTCACCGTACAATGATGTACGAACTTTTCCAAATAAAATTGTACTTGTCACTGCTTGTACAGTGTACATGTAAAATGTATAACTGTGACTGAATATCCACATGTGATTAACTGTGAAGCATGTAAGTCAGCAGTCATTTATTTTGATCAGCAAAAACCGGCTGAAAAATTCAGAAAATCATCCACTAAATAAGATTAGTGTCTGTTGGGTCTGCTTCTGGATATCATAACATTTTAGGCACATGTACATGTACTTTGTATGATTGCCCCTGGACCCAACCCATTAGCGCGCGCGCGCCTGCGCCGCTCACCGTGTGAGATGCGTAGGCACCCTAGCTGTTCCTCTTTCTGACTTTTTAATGTTGGCAGGTATGAGGATGGATTAGTCAAGTGGAATAGTAAACTACTAGATTACACCAACCATTGTTGAGTAGTGTGCTTTGATAAAGTAGGCTTGAGATTTGTCAGGATTTTTCCTGATTTCAGGATTTTTTTGTCAGGATTTTTGGTCAGGATTTATCTTGATTTTAGGATTGTTGGCCAGCATTTTTTTTTTTACTGATTTCAGGACTTTTAACCCTAACATCCTAGCCATTACTTTGGGATAAGGAACCGAGTACTACAGAATACTACAAAAATTATGCCCATGTTTGCAGGCACCATGTACCAAAAAATACTAGGAGTGCTGTGCCCACTTATATGCTGAAGTACTGCATACTACAATTTACTACTAGTAGTATTTTGTAGCTTTTTGTGAGGTAAGGGTTAAAGAATCCGTTTTAAAATATGGAATTCCTGAGGTTTTACCTGAAAGGTATGTTACCTCTATGTACAACAAAAGAAGTGGGTATTCTAATGGTTGCCTTTAGTCAAATACAAACATATACTATATACCCTACATTGCTCCGGGGCCCTCAGAATCCACCTGACCCTCTGTGGATTATTTATTTCGTGAATTGTTCATTTTCCCCCAATCACAGCTCTGATAAAGAACAGTCAGACAAGCAGATGTTGAGATACAGATAGTGAAGAACTGTTTAGCCCTAACCTTCCCAAATCCATCAAAATCCCTTCCCCCATTTTGGGGATTTTTATAGGCAAGCCATGAGTACCAAGTCCGTCAAAATTCACCTATAGTAGTGGTGGTCTTGTGGTGGATAAGTTCAGCGGATTTGGTCTAAAAGCATTATGTGAAGCAGGGTCATGATGGATTTTAGTAAAAAAACACTAGGGAGTTAGGGTTAATTTTGAGAGTTGGGGGAAACCCTGGAACGACATTTTATGCAAACTTAGTGACTGGGTTTGACTAAGACCCAGGACACAGAGGTGAAAAGTGAGAAAAGTACCACCGGCACTAATGATTACCTGTGAACCTGACAGAGCATCATAAGCTAAAATGCATTTGGTGAAAACAAGTACAGGGTTCATTAAAGCTATAGTCCATCATTTGTAATTAGTGCATTTTGTTTGTTTGAAGTGCTCACAAAAGTGTTCAAAATCTAATGAAGGATACTGAACAACTTACTTGATGAAGTTTCAGCTCAGCTTCAGCTTGATATTCCGAGAAAAACAGAATTCTAGGATCTCAATTTAAAATCAAAAGTTGCTAAATCATGTTTCGAATTGTTTTGAATTGCAGCTTTACGCGATTTTACGCACTGATCCAACGAATTATAGCAACCGCGCGCGCCTGTGCGTCGTTCCAATGCTTGTGCGCGCTGCGCCGAATAACAAAACGAACAACTAATTTAAATTTTCCTACGGTGCTTCTTTTGGAAATGCCTTCTTTCGTTGATTTCTTCAAAATGAGAGCTTGCCAGAAAGGATAATTTCACAGGGAGTTTAGTCCCCTTACTATCTTTCAACCAGTATGTTTTTCAACAATAATTACGCCGGCTACTTTTTTGGATAGCTGCAAATGATGGACTCGGGCTTTAAAATGGTCTGGTAACCTTTTTGTTCACAGATAGAGAAAGCAGGCCACCTGAATGGGGTCAGCGTGAAGGAGCTCCTGCTGGAGATGCGGCGGTGCAGGATGGGACTGATACAGACCCATGACCAGCTGCGCTTCAGCTACCTGGCTATCCTAGCCGGGGCCCGGGCAATTCTGGACGGCAAGGGGCTGGAATCGTTAGCTCGCGAGGTGAGCCACTCGGACCACACGGTAAAAGGCATTTCACTCATTTCCTGCAAGAACGAAAAAGATATTTCAATCCGCTTGTGTGGTCAACATGTGTGAACCCATGGTGTATTCACTTGAATACCTATTGTATGGTAGCAACATCATATAAAGAGTCTGCTTAACTCAGTTTGAGTGCGTTCGTTTAGCTCACCGGGTCGACACGGGTCAGCCCCGTGCCATTCGATTAGCTCTGACGTCATTCTCGGGGCCCACCCGGATCAGCCACCACAGACCCTGCTCATGGAGCAGAGTCAGTAGTGGAAATACGTCACACGCATGCATTGTTCATTCTAAGAAACGGACAAATATGGCAGCCGTATGGCAGCCGGACAGCGGAAATCTCAAGTGGCCTTAAAAATCAACTATTTTTCAATGCTAATGGTAATCATCTATTGAGTTCATTGGGACTTTTGAGGCTATAATTCCAGCCCAACTCTTTTGAGTGCAATGGACTAAAAAGCAGTTAATCTCAAACTAAGACCCAATCTGAAACGGGCGTTTTGTCATTAGCTACGGCCACGGCTAAGGGTGTCACGTGAGGATCCTGATGCCCGCGGTTGAGCGTTCAATTAGCCCAGCTGTTGTGGCTAACCTGTCTGCCTTTACCCAAATCGATCCGGGTGAGCTACTCAAATGCACCTTTTGTAACTGTTAAGCGGGATTTTGTGTACAGTGTCCAAAGCACTGCTTTCTAAGGCCTTCTATGGATTTTACACCTGGGATAATTTTGGTGAAATTGTTCCAAGATTAAATACAAAACACCACGTACCCCCATCCTTAGGTTACAATAGCAAATTGCTGTGCATTCTGAGTATTTGCTTGTGAAAGTTTTTGGTTATGCATTTCTTGAACTAATACACCTCTACAATTCATTAACAAAATCACCTTTTAAGACAAAATTATGGTCTAAAAATTTACAACATAGTTTAGACATACTTAGGATCACCTTTTCAATGTGAAAAATCAAACAAATTGCCCCCCTTTTTTATCATATCTTAATTTTAAGCTCTGTCCAAAAGCGTCTGGTTTGAAAGAACACGTCACAATTGTTGATTAGACAGGTCTTTTGAACTAACTTTTGAACCAGGATGGAGAGGAAGATGCCCCACCACCTCTTCCAAGGAAGTTGAAGCGCCCTCACTCGCCAGGGGAGCAAGACAGCAACGACACGAAGACGGCCAGACAGGAGGACGCAAACGACGTCAAGTCGCAAGACCACGATGGGAACCCTGGCACAAGGTGAGAGAAAGGGTCTCGTGTAGGCCTCAGGGACAAGATCTGTTAACCCTAACACCTCCTTAAGGTGCCGGGTCTTTCAAAATTGAGGTGGAAGGATTTATGGCAGTTAAGGCAATATGAGAAATGCTGCAGTATGGCATTGCTATACAAACATCTCCATTACGATACATGGTTCTGAACGTAGAGCTGTATAAAATTACTAGAGCGCTGACTTGATGTACAAAGTGATGCCTACTGGGCGCCTCCATGTTTGTGCACAAACCTATTGAAAACTCAAAATTTTGTACAGCTATTTGCATATCTGCGTTTGTACCGTATTCTATACACGTGCATTATTGAAGTTGATACGCTCAAAACCAAAATGCACAATCAGTAAATGAGCCTCTCACGTTGCTGTGCGCAAACAACGCAAACACGTGCACGTGTCTGCTGCAGATGATTTTTGCTGTGACATTTTTTAACCGTAATGATGCACTTAAGTTGTTTGTTTATGCTGTACTTGCACATTGCATTTAGAGTACAATTGCAAAATTCACTCCATCTATTCTCATTATGTTCTACAAACACGCACATGAATTCAAAATGTCTTCGTCCAGGACGGCTTCAAAGCGTCTCCGCGCGTAACAATGAGGAGTTAGCGCTCTAGTAATTCAATATTGCTCCGTGTCTGTGAATGAACTTCTCCAAAAGACAAGGCTATTTATGGCACCAGAAGTCAAAATTTGTGGACAACATATCTTGTGATTTCGAAGAAAAAAAACCAAACAACCAATTTAAAAAAGAAAAAAACAAAACAAAATAAAAGTACACATCATAACTGTGGGATGGCAGGATTGCTTCAAAGTATCTCCTGTGCGTAACAATGAGGAGTTGGCGCTCTAGTAATTTAATATAGCCCTATGGCTATGAATGAACTTCTCCGAAAGACAAGGCTATTTTTGGCACCAGAAGTCCAAATTTGTGGACAACATATCTTGTGATTTTGAAGAAAAGAAATAACCAATAAAAAAAACCCACCAAAATAAAAGTACACAACATACATGTAACTGTAGCAGTTTGACAGAGATGTAACAAGAGAAGGCGTGCATGCATACCATGTGAAGAGAATGCAACTAATGCATTCATGTGTGTGCCAAACAGCTTCAATAACTGCCATTATTAAAGTTTTCAATAAGTGTTCTGATGCACTTGGTACTCTTATCCAAGTTTACTGTTACTTTAATAAGGTTACGTTCAGAATTGTAAGAGGTGGTTTTGTTGCACGCTTTCGGGTTATGTTTTAGAGGATTTTTGCATGATTAATACACCTGTTAATTGTAAGACGGATCCCATATTAACCCCAAGGGATAGTGTGTCACGGTTGCATCATGCTTTTTACAACTGTTACTCTTGGGATGCGTCAAGTTATGATTTCTTGTGTCAAACAGTTCTCAAGGGTGTATAGGGATGGCTCACTTTCCATTTTTCAAACATTGTCTTCTTGCCAATACTCCCCTTGATAAACTCATTGAAAAATCTGTTCACACACCAAGAGCAGTTGAAAGGCCCCTCAAAAGCGCTGTACAAATCTTTGTTATTAGAACTGAAAAGACTCGCCGGTTGTATACAGTCGAATCCCGTTAGTACAAACTCTGTTAATACAAAATTCTGGTTATAACAAACATACCGGTAAAAGCCTTAGTCCCGACTGTGCATTTATGTGCACAATGAATGGGACTGATGTTCCTCTTAATACAAAATTCTGATATAACAAACAATTTGGCTAGGTTCGAACGAGTTTGTATTAACGAGGTACACATAATATCCAGCACTGCGTGTAGAAGTGCTGCAACTTTGACTCTTCGTCATGTGGAAGTTACCAGATTCCGGTTTGGCAAGACTTTGGTCAACTGAAGACCAGGGATGTGTATTTTACGTTCAACCCCTTTGTTCAGCTATAGGTATTATGCATACACATGTATGTCTGTGATAATATCATTTTTTTATGAGGCCCAGTTTGCCACATACTCTCTTTTGTTAAGCAAAGAACGTAGCTGGTTCTTGAGGACAAACAGTCTTCCAGGAAATAAGGTGTAGGAGTCCATGGCTGGTAAGGTTCCTGCATTGGATACTGCCAGAAGGGTTGTCCAGGGCCAATTTCATAGAGCTGCTTAAGTACAAAATTTGCTTAAGCACAAAAAAACCTTGCTTAATGTAATCAGGTTAGCAGCCAAAACTTCATGCGATGTACATTGCTTGTGACTGGCATTTAGCTATTGTTTACTTAGCAAAACAATCGCCTGGAGTTTTGGTGGGTAACCTGAGTATATTAAGCAAAGTTTTCTTGTGCTTAAGCAAACTTTATGCTTAAGCAGCTCTATGAAATTGGCCCCAGGATAGAATTAACGCAGGAACTGCTGATGTAATGGAACTTCGGCAGCTGGCTGCTGGGGGTACTGATAAGCCATCAGTACTGTATTAGGGACTTGCAATGAATTCAACATGGTTGGTTGACAAGATGGTGTTCCAAGTCTGTCATACATGTAGGTCAACATCATTGTATGCATGTACCAGTTTGTTCACTGCAGACTTCCAGTCGCTCTTCTGGTTTTCAGGGAGGGTCCTGAACATCCCAAGTAGGGTCCTGTTGAAACGTCAACTTGACCATTACATGTACCTTGGGGATGATACGATGTTGTGATACGATCCCAGAGTACTCTTGCAGTCTGGTAAACAGATGGTTTTCGAACTCACGTCCTTCGTCATGGTGGAGCCTCTTGGGGAACCCAAACTTCAGGATGAAGTTATTGAAGATGATGTCAGCTGCTGTTTTCCTGCCCCTTCGTTTCTGGTTGGGTATGCTTGAGCGAATCTCGTGAAATTGTCCACCACCACAAGGATCCCCTCTGTTCACCCTGCAGCCGTTTCCCAACTGCTTGGTCCGTTGCCGATGCTTGCACCCCCTGCTGAAGTGCTCTGAGCTGCCACAGGTGAAGCAATGCTTACACTCTGGACGCTTCCCAGCTTGACAACAGCTATTGCAGCCCCATTCGCGGGATGGAGGGTTTCTGCTGGTACTTTCACTTGACTTGGGCTTCTCAGCTGCTTGCTTGGTGGAGACTTTGAGATCAGCCAAGTCTGCCTGAATTTACTGAAGTGGCTTCATCAGGTCACGTTGTTGTGTTTCCACGGCACTCACTTCTTGGACCTTCACAGCTGTCTTGGTCTTCTTCTGTTTTGCTAGTCTCAGGATCTCCCTCCCTTCCGCGATCTTCAGTTGTCGGAAGAGGGCTTCATTGGAGATTTTGGGATCAAAAAACAGCGGCTTCAGCTCGGCTAGAATATTGTCGTTTTGGAGCCCTGTAGGGTCATACTTGATGGTGGACTCCATCTTTGATGCCTTCAGGATCTTCTGTCGGAGGTTGAGGGTCCTCACCAAGAAGTCGTGTACTGACTACTTCCATGCGAGGCCGACAAGAGTTTTTGGTACATCTCCTTGGCATTCCCCTCTTGACAGTGCACTTCGAGGATTTCCCGAAGGGTTGCCAATGTTAGCCCCTCTTTGCTCTCGAGGTAGCTCCTCAAGTGTAAGCCTGGGCTGATGAACTGGATGACTTCCTCTACGATCTCGACCTCTTTGTAGGATTTCCACAAATCGCTTTCAGTCTGCCTGATCAGATTACTGTGGGAGAGCCAGTCCTACTGACCAGGCTCTCCAACCTGGCCGATGATGCGAAACTCCTGTTTTCAGTAGGCCATCCATTTGGTTTACTGCTAGGGCAGATGGGCTGGAGACGTGAATGTCGGCGTGAATGTCGAGCTTGACTCCAGGGTGGCTGGCGGGTCTTTGGAGGTGCTGGACGTTCCTGGAGTGATGATCTTAAGGAAGTCACGAAGGTCTTCGAAGACCTTTTGACCTTTGTCCTCCATGTCTTCGATGGTCTCACTGTTGAGGTTGCGGGTCAACCACGGGATGAGGACCAGGCATGCGCTCTCCTTGCTGGTAGTGTGTTCATCAACATCCAGCTTCGTGCACACCTGCTTTAATTGCTCCTCCTGCAGGCAGCCAATCTGACTGACTACACTTTGCTTCAATGCCAGCAGATCTTCCATGCTCTCATCTTCTCCGTCCTCTGAGTCGCTGAACCAGGTCATAGGTGTCTCACGTCATTCCCGACGCCAACCGGTCGTCCTCTGCCAAAATCTGTGAAAGTGACAAGGCAAACTCACACACACTCTGTGTTGTCTTTGGCCAATTCCAATTGGTATGGGGGTGTCACTTTCTACAAAACTTCGCTCTGGAGGGGTTCTACAATAGAGGGGTTCTACATACATGTAGATCATCATAGTCTCCTCTTGCACACCTGGTACACAAAGGCATGCTTAGCATCAGTTATAGTAAGCATTTTCGTGGCTGCGTCAATTAGTTTTGCTGCAACAGAAGTTGCACATTGAGACCTTACGCCTTGCAAACCACTCCCTATTCACTGCATGCAAGATCGACATGTTCTTCATGAATCAGATTAAATGTTTTAATCTTTATTTTTCTGTTGGGCGTGTTTTGCGCCTGTCTGCTGTTCCTCCTTACTCCGGCAGAATTTTGCGAAGTGCTTTCGTTTATGGCAAAATGAGCTTATCTCACCATAAGCAGGGCGCTCGCCAATATGTGGGTTATGTCCCCCCACAGTTGTAGCAGGTAGTCGACTTCGGTGCCGTTTCTGATGCAGTTGGCTTTGAGCATTGTTGTGACTGGTTGACAGCGTAAACGGGCTGTTCTCTACCTGCCATGTGATTGTGTTATGTTGAAGCTGCTGCTGTTACTTGGATGATCATCATGGCTTTGTCTAGGGTCAGATCAGGATCTCGCAGTAAGTGTTTTTGGAAGCTGTGGTCCGCGATGCCAAGAATGATGCGGTCGCGAATAAGTGAATCCTTCAGTTCCCCGAAGTAACATGTTTTAGCCAAACTCTTCAGGGCTGTCATGAATACGTCGAAAGTTTCACCATTCTGTTGACTACGGC